GAGCCTTCTACTAAACCCCCCCCCCCCAGCCACAGAGAGACACTCATCTTCACAGCTCTGGATATCCCCGGGAACGAGAGTCAGTCTCTACATACACCATCAAGCAGCCCATATCCTCTCAGATCCCACCTGGTTCCCATGGTGTGTGTGTCCCTTCTTTCATCCCTTCTTTTGGGGAGAGGTGCTGACCCCCTGAAAAAAAATGCCGACCTAGGCAAGTGCCTTGTTTGCCTTGTGGTAAATACACCCTTGCATGTGATATCGCCAGCAAAACCCTGGTGATAAATATTGCATCGTTTGTTTAACTTTTTATTCCGTTTGTGAATTGGACTTCACAGCTTGCCGCATGGTTTTTTGCAATATTTACTGGCACATTTTTAATTCTGCATTAAAAAATGCAGAATTGTTTTTTTTTTTGTGAATTGGACATTTTTCTTTTACCGCATTCGATAAAAGCAATCCACTGAGCTGGCCTGAACCAACCAACATCTGTTTGCTGACCATAGACCAAGTACAAGTTGATGTTCATCAAAGAAAACTTTTCTATACAAGAATATCCGTACAACAGGCTTTTTCAACAAAAGAACCCCTTGGGGTTTAACCACTTTATATACATGGGCCGGACAGGAGCAGTGCAGAGGCAGGTGGCCGTTCATAAATTGCGCCCACCATTTTAGCCTGTGCGTGCTCCCTGGGAGCACGCAGCACCGCGATCTGGTGCCCGCTGTGTACTCCGGACACAGATGAACACCGATTGCTGTACGGGACCTCTGTGCGAGGTCCCGATCATGTGATCACTGATTGGCCAATCAGTGATCACATGAATAGTAATAAGCAAGGTGTCACTTCTGACATCATTGCTTACTACGTGTGAAATCTGTGAATGATCACAGAGATCACATGGTACAGGGCTATTCACAACAGCCTTGCACCATGTGACAAGCTGTGACCAATCACAGCTCTCACAGTATTTCTCAATGGCTGCAAGAATGCAGCCAGAGAGAAGGAGAAATTATTGCTTTTACAGCCTTTATGGGTGTAAAAACAATCAGTGTGAAAAATAAAATCTTCATGGTGACACTGTACTGCCAGGGTGACAGTATGTTTAAAAAAACAAACAAATAATAATATAAAAAAAATAAAAAATGTAAAACAATGTTTTGAAAAATTATAATTTTTGGTTATAAACTAATTTGGGTTATTTTTATTTACTAAAAAGATAGCTGAATACATTTTGGCCAAGATTTATGAAGAAAGCATATTTATTTGCAAAATGTTATAAGAAAAACACTTTTTTTCAAAATGTTTGGACTTTTTCATTTATATAGCAAAAAAAAATCCCAGTGGTGAATAAATACCACCAAAATAAAGTTTTATCTGTCTCAAAAAAATGCTAAAAATTCATATGGGTACAGCATTGCATGACCGCACAATTGTCCTTAAAAGTGTGACAGCGCTGAAAGCTGAAAATTGGCCTGGACAGGAAAGGGGTGAAAGTGGTTAAGAACTTTTAGCAGCATATCGCTCAATTTGTGGACCTCCTGCCCATTTAATCGGTATAGACTTAATATATCTTCTATCTATAGTCGATCTATATTCGTAGAGTACAAGAAACTGGTCACTGACAATGCTTTTGAGGACACGTATATAAATCTACTCCACTGCTTGAGTCCTCGTTTTTTTTTTTTTTGCTGGTGTCCTAAGATGGACTTCTTCTCCCTTATGGAGAAATCAGTTTAAAGGGCCCTTGTTTGGAGATAAGTGTGTGCTTCAGCCAGGAAAGGTGAACAGCTTGAGAGATGAGACTCCATATTGGAGAGATTTCATAACCACAGGACTGGGAGAGTTGGGACAGCTGGACAAATCTTCAGAACTGAGGTAACTAGCGAACCTAAGGGACGGGAGGGATTCTATAAGTCTTGGAAGAGTGAGAGAGCCTGGGTTGCCAGGAGAACCCCTATCTAGAGGCCAGGAGTGGGCCCATGCAGTGACGTGCTGTAATTAAGTTTGAGCCAGGAGAGCCAGAGAGCTGGGTCTGAGGGACCAGAGCCAATAGCTGTGGTGCTGCTAAGAGCCAGGTGGTGTGGCATTTTTCAGCTCTCCCCTTGGGAGGTACTTCATCTTGGATGGATTGGTGACTGGTGGTAGGAAGTAGGCGGATATGTTCCAAGGAGTCATTTCCATTCAATGCTGGCTTGCTTTTTACTTCTGGTGAGTGCATAGTGGTGGAGGAGTATCACCAAAGTCACAGTTATTACTGGTCATTACTGGTTAACATCAGTTTTTGGACTATTTTCGGTCATTTTTGGCACATTTTTTGGGACATATAGTGAATCACATTCATATTTTTGCTATTCATATGTTGGACGTTTATTTTTGGTTATTATTCTTTTCATCATTTTGTTACACTACAATATTGTCCGGTATATTCATGGATATTGATTACAATTGGAACAGAAGACTCCCATATGGAAGAAAAATATATTTTAAAAAATATTCTTCCCCAATATTTATTTCAGATACTTATATAGCGCCGTCAATTTAAGCAGCGCTTTACATATATATTGTACATTCACATATATATATTTCCAAATATATTGACATATATATGAAATGCTACAATTTTGGCCATATTCAGTATATTTCAATATGTATATACATATATACAGTATATATGTATATATATAAATACACACACACACATATATATATATACACATACACACACTGTATGTTGAAATGCGTTTTTATTACAAAATATATGAAAAATATTTTTAAAAATACATTTCAAATATACTGTGTCTTTAAAAATACAAAACTACATTTTTGGAATGCATTTACAAATATATGTTAAAATGACTTTTTTATATGTTAAAAAAATCTGAAGAATATATTTAAAGAAAATATATTTTTTTAAATATATTCAGATTTTTTTTTAACATATAAAAAAGTCATTTTAACATATATTTGTAAATGCATTCCAAAAAAAATATAGATTTGTATTTTTAAAAGACATACAGTATATTTGAAATGCATTTTTTTAAAATATTGGTCATATATTTTGTACTAAAAACGCATTTCAACATACAATATATATACAGGTAACAAAATGAGATTAGCAGCATGGCCTTTAAGAGACTGCTTCTAATCTCAGTTTGTTACCTGTATGAAAGACATCTGGTAGCCAGAAATCCTACTGAATGATAGGGGATCAAATACTTATTTCCCTCATGAACATGCAAATCAGTCATCATTTGTTAGACATGCATTTCTGCTGAATTTTTTGTTGCTATTCTGTCTCTGTGTTACAATACATTTACCATTTGATTTTTAGACCGATCATTTCTATGTGAGTGGGAAAACATTAAAAATCAGCAGGTGATCAAATACGCATTTCCTTCACTGTATATATATTTATTGAAATATATTTTGAAATATATTGAATACGACCAAAATTGTAGCATTTCAAATATATGTCAATATATTTGAGAAGAATATTTTTTTAAATATATTTCAAATACATTTTTCTTCCATGTGGGCTGCCCTGATACAAAACTTTTGTTATTTTAATGCCTGTAAATCCTTCAGAATTCGAATTTTCCTGGTAAGTCCTTTATACGAAAAGCATCCTCTGCTAAAACAGTGACCACTATTAGTCCTCTCTGCTAATGTTCTTGAAGTCATTGATCACAAGGAAACTACTTTGGGTCTTAATTTTAGCATTATCATTAACGTGTATTTTTTTTTTTATTGCAAATATTTTCTGTTACATTTTTTAACTCCACTTCAAGTCCGGATACTTTTACCCCCTTCCTGTCCAGGCCAATTTTCAGCTTTCAGCGCTATCACACTTTGAATGACAATTGCGTGGTCGTGCAACACTGTACCCATAGAAATTTTTATCATTTATTTGAGACAGCTTTCTTTTGGTGGTACTTAATCACCTCTGGGTTTTTTATTTTTTGCTAAACAAACCAGAAACTGAAAATTTTGAAAAAAAAAAACATTTTTTTTCTTAGTTTCTGTTATAAAATTTTGTAAATAAGTGATTTTTCTCCTTCACTGATGTGCGCTAATGAGGCTGCTGTGATGTGCACTGATAGGCTGCTGTGATGGGCACTGATAGGTGGCACTGATAGACTGCACTGATGGGCACTGACTGGCACTGTTAGGTGTTACTGACTGGCACTGTTAGGTGGCACTGATAGGCAGCACTGATGCACACTGATAGGCGGCACTGATAGGTGGCACTGACTGGCATTGATAGGTGGCACTGAAAGGCAGCTCAGATGGGCACTGATATCTGACATTGATGTGCACTGGTAGGCACTGATATGTTGCACTGATGGGCACTGGCAGGTGGCATTGATGGACACTAATAGGTGGCACTGATGGGGCTACACTGATCATCAGTGTCCTGATGATCAGTGTACATATCCCCTCTGAGGAATGCTGATTACCGGCTCTCCTCTCCTCTCGAGCTGTCAGTGTGACAGCTCGTGAGGAGAGAAATGCCGATAACCAGCATTTCCCTATTTACATGCGATCAGCTGTGATTGGACACAGCTGATCACATGACTAAGCCGTCTTCTTTGGCTCTTTCCATTGATCAGTGATCCGCTGTGTCCCAGTGATCTGTGATCTGCTGTGTCTAACCACGAACGCGTGGTTAGAGTGGGAGGACGTCAGGAACAAGAGAACTGCATAGCGCCCGTCATTTCCTTATATGGCGGGCGGGAGGCGGTTAAAAACGCTTCTAAACACAAACAAACGCAGCTACATTTTCTAGCAGTCAGTTTCCATCGTTCAGAAGAGTTTTCCAAACGCCCCGCGTACATGGGCCCTAAGGAAACAGATTTTTTAAAAATAAGTCAATAAGGCATAATGGCAAAGTAAATTCAAAGTTTAATGGACCTTGCAAAAAAAAAGATCAAAACTTCAATACTCACTCACAAATTTTGTAGAAGTAAATAAAAGAAGCTGTCTATTCATTCACTTACTCAGCTGCCACTACTTGAAGCAAGGTCCTCTTGGCTGTTGTGGGAACCGAGATGTGACTTCCAGTGAAATTTCTGAGAAAACCGTTTCCCACATTCAGAACATGAATAAGGCTTCTCCCCCAAATGAATGGCTTCATGTCTGATAAGAGAAGACGTCCGGGCGAAGGGTTTCCCACAACTGGAACATGAATATGGCTTCTCCCCCGTATGAATTCTTCGATGTTCAACCAAATCCTTTCTTTTGGCAAAACGCCGACCACAGTCTGCACAGGAAAATGGGTTCTCTCCGGTGTGAGTTCGTTCGTGCGAAAGGAGACCGCTCTTTCCAGTAAAACACTTCCCGCATTTGGAACATGAAAATGGTTTCTCACCAGTGTGAGACCTCTGATGGAAAAGAAGGCTTTCTTTCCGAGTAAAATATTTGCCGCATTCGTTGCAGGAAAATGGCTTTACCCCAGTGTGAGTTCTTTGGTGTGTAACAAGACCTAATCTCTGGCTGAAGCATTTCCCACATTCTGAACAGGCAAACGGCTTTTCGCCGGTGTGGGTCCTCTGGTGGGAAGTTAGACTGGTCCTCTGGGTAAAATATTTTCCACATTCGGAACAGAAAAATGGTTTCTCTCCGGTGTGAATCTTCTGGTGTCGAATAAGAGCCGAGTTGAGCGTAAAACATTTGCCACATTCGGAACATGAAAATGGCTTCAACCCCGTGTGGATTTGCTTGTGTTTGGTGTAGGACGAGCTAAGAGAAAAACATTTGCCGCAATCCAAACATGAATAAGTCTTCTTTATGGCATCAGTTTTGTTTTGTGAGAAGAGCTTCGCCCGTTCGGTAAAACATTCGCGAGACTCAAAACTCGGGAATACTTCCTTCCCCCTATGAAGTATATGATGGGTGACAGCAGGTAGGTGATCATTACAACTACCTCCATGTGTAGAGGGATCAAGTGGTCCATGGAGCAGTACTGGATGGATCTTTGGGGCAATGGGATTTCCATCTAAAGGATAAGATTCAAGGTCATCAGCTTCAACGGTGTCATCTGAAGACCTAATGGGATGTTTCTGGATGCTGTACCTCCTGTATCGTCCATCTAGAGAAATTAAGAAGAAAGAGAAAAGAAAAATAATAACTGTGGTCTAGTACGAAATCGTGAAATTGAAGAGCGGTTGATGTCCCTAAATATATTTGTCCTCCATAAATCTGAATAGACTTCTTGACACCATCATCGAGGATCCTTAACCACCTGACCCTTTAAGAGTTTCAGAAGCCTGGAGACGGGCGGGGTTTTAGGGTCATGTGACCACCGTGATTTACCGTCACATGATCGGAAAAAGTCCCGATCGAAAGGGGAGATTGGGACCTTTCCGTGTGTCACGGACATATGTGCTGGGAGCGCAGGCTCTCAGCACATATGTATTTTCTAATTGCACGCAAATATGCGGCTGCTCGGCGTCAAGGGGTTAAACACTTTTCTACCGGGCACTTCTACCCCCTTCCTGCCCAGGCCAATTTTCAGCTTTCAGCGGCTGTCGCACTTTGAATGACAAATTGCGCCGTCATGCAACACATTTTTATCATTTTTTTCAGACAAATAGAGCTTTCTTTTGGTGGTATTTACTCGCTGCTGGGGGTTTTATTTTTTGCGCTATAAACAAAAAAAAGAGCAAAAAATTTGAAAAAAAAAGGTTTTTGTTTCTTTCTATTATAAAATTTTGCAAACAGGTAATTTTTCTCCTTCACTGATGTGCGTTGATGAGGCTGCACTGATAGGCAGCACTGATGGGCACTGATGAGGTGGCACAGATAGGCAGCACTGATAGGTGGCACTGATGGGCAGCACTGATGATTGGGCACTGATGGGTGGCACTGCAGGGCACAGGTGGGTGGCACTGGTTATCAGGGCACTGATGATCAATGCCGATCCCTTCGCTGACAATTGCCAGTTCTCGGCAGTACTTTCCTCATGCTATCACAGTGTGAGGAAAGTGCAGCCAATAACCAGCAACTGTATTTATCCGGGGATCTGCTGTGTCATTGGGCACAGCTGATCATGTGGTAAAAGGCCGCCTTAATTGGCCATTTACCGTATCGTGATCAGCTGTGTCTGTAGGCGATGGGTGCGCTCCGCTGGGGGTGCGTTATGGAATGACGTCCATGGACATCATCCCAGGATTACACAACCACGCTGTAGCCGTCCTTCGGTAGCCGGTTAAACACCCTTGATGAAGCATCCAATTGTGATGAGTGGTTATCTTGCAAAACTACCATTGAATCTATAGCCCAAAGCAAGAGTCACATTTCTTGAACCGTGCAAGGATCTGCCCTTGTGCTAAGATCTTGTGGTCTCACTGATTTTAAGGTCTTTTCCACCATGTCCTGGCTTTCCACTATCCATTGCATCTTACATTCATGGAGCTCTCTAAACTCCTGGTCAATACCTCCCAACTTTTATTCAGTCAAGGCACCCTTTAAAATTCTGCACAAATCTCAAGGACCCCATAAAAAATGTAGAAACTATACTAATAGTTTTACATAACGCAGCCACATTCGCACAACCAACCAACACATCCAACATCTCTTAGATTGTAAGCTCCAAGGAGCAGGACCCTCCTAACCCTGACACCCCGTGTCCTAGAGGGATCCCACAGGTATGTTAACCACCTCCCATCCGCCATATAGTCCAATGACGGGCGCAAGGCGGTTCTCTCGTTCTGGGAGGACATCATATGATGTCCTTCCATTCTCACCGCGCATGCGCGCTCAGGGAGCGCACAGCGCGGAGATCGGCGGTGCGCTGTGTGCCTCGGACACAGCGGATCACCGATCCACGGAAAGAGCTGAAGATGTCGGCTCGGTCATGTGATCAGCTGTGTCCAATCACAGCTGATCACATGTAAACAGGGAAATGCCGGTTATCGGCATTTCTCTCCTCATGAGCTGTCACGCCGACAGAGGAGAGGAGAAGAGAGCCGGTAATCGGCATTCCGCGGAGGGGACATCTACACTGATCATCAGAGCACTGATGATCAGTGTGCCCTGATGATCAATGTAGCCCCAGCAGTGCCACTGGTCAGTGTTCCTCAGTGCCACATCAATGCCACATATCAGTGCCTACCAGTGCACATCAATGCCACATATCAGTGCCCATCTGAGCTGCCTTTCAGTGTCACCCATCAGTGCAAATCAGTGCCACCTATCAGTGCGCATCAGTGCCACCTATCAGTGCCAGTCAGTGCCGTCTTTCAGTGCCCATTAGTGATGCCTGTCAATGCCCATCAGTGCCACCTACCAATGCCTCCTCATCAGTGCCACCTTTCACTGTCCATCAGTGCAGCCTATCAGTACCCATCACTGCAGCCTCATTAGCGCACATCAGTGAAGGAGAAAAAAATCACTTATTTACAAAATTTTATAACAAAAACTAAGAAAAAACATTATTTTTTTCCAAATTTTCAGCGGTTTTTGGTTTGTTTAAGAAAAAATAAAAAACCCAGAGGTGATTAAATACCACCAAAATAAAGCTCTATCTGTCTCAAAAAAAATGATAAAAATTTCATATGGGTACAGTGTTGCATGACTGCACAATTGTCAAAGTGTGACAGCGCTGAAAGCTGGAAATTCTCCTGGGCAGGAAGGAGGTATAAGTGCCCAGTAGGCAAGGGGTTAAAGGAGTAGTTACATGAGTCCGAGCTGGACAAGCGTAACTATGTATAAAATGTCCAGTTTATCAGGTGTCAATGTAGGGGTTCTTCAATGTCACAATGATTGGTTTTGGGGATTCTCCACCAGAGGAAGTGGTGGTGGCACAATTAAATATAACATGGACTATGTTGTCTCGTGATTATCTTTTGTTATATGTATTGAGTTTCTTGCCTATGATAGTTTGATGTTTGGGGTTTTTTTTTTTTGTTTGTTTTGGATCCCCTTTTCTGTATTATGTACCCTTATTTTTTGTTTAGTTTTTTTGTTTGAACTCCTGTTATTATTTATATCTTCCTTGTTCTGTTTTTGTTTGTGTTTCATAAATGCAAAAAATAAACACCTTTAAAAAAAAAAAAAAATTTAACATGGACTGCATATCTTTTTTTTTTTTACTAGAATTTGTGTCACCTCAATAACTGGTAGGTTTGATTAATGGCGTGATAAATCCTGGGAATTACTCTGTCTACCCTTGCTGATGGAAGGAGGTTTGCACTCAAAATCTCACGATACATGGCCCCATTCATTCTGTCCTGTACATGGATCAGTCGTCCTGGTCCCTTTGCGGAGAAACAGCTCCAAAGCATGATGTTGCCACCCCCATGCTTCACAGTAGGTATGGTGTTCTTTGGATGCATTCTCTCTCCTCCAAATACGACGAGTTGTGTTTCTACCAAACAGTTCTATTTTGGTTTCATCTGACCATATGACATTCTCCCAATCCTCTTCTGGATCATCCAAATGCTCTCTAGCAAACTTCAGATGGGTCCGGACATGTACTGGCTTAAGCAGGGGGACACATCTGGCACTGCAGGATCTGAGTCCCTGGCGGCGTAGTGTGTTACTGATGGTAGCCTTTGTTACGTTGGTCCCAGCTCTCTGCAGGTCATTCACTAGGTCCCCCCAAGTGGTCCTGGGATTTTTGCTCACCGTTCTTGTGATCATTTTGACCCCACGGGGTGAGATCTTGCGTGGAGCCCCAGATCGAGGGAGATTATCAGTGGTCTTGTATGTCTTCCATTTTCTAATTATTGCTCCCACAGTTGATTTGTTCACACCAAGCTGCTTGCCTATTGCAGATTGTCTTCCCAGCCTGGTGCAGGTCTAAAATTTTGTTTCTGGTGTCCTTCGACAGCTCTTTAGTCTTCACCATAGTGGAGTTTGGAGTGTGACTGTTTGAGGTTGTGGACAGGTGTCTTTTATACTGATAACAAGTTAAAACAGGTGCCATTGATACAGGTAATGAGTGCAGGACAGAGGAGCCTCTTAAAGAAGAAGGTACAGGTCTGTGAGAGCCAGAAATCTTGCTTGTTTTGTAGGTGACCAAATACTTATTTTCCACCATAATTTGCAAATAAATTCTTTCCAAATCAGCCAATGTGATTGTCTGGATTTTTGTTCTCATTTTTTCTCTCATAGTTGAGGTCTACCTATGATGTCAATTACAGGCCTCTCTCATCTTTTTAAGTGGGAGAACTTGCACAATTGGTGGCTGACTAAATACTTTTTTGCCCCACTGTATTTGAAAAACCACATCCCCTTCTAAAATATATTATCCCCTTCACGTCTAAGGGTAAAACAAATCTTAATGCCGAAGCACAATTTTGCAACGTTGACGTGTTAGTAAAACCGTACATATCACCACAACTACTTTGTACATCCAGGTGGATTATACCGCTTTTCAGGACAAATTGGGCTTTCATTTGGTGGTAAATGGTAATAGATATTGCCTGATTTTTATTATCAAAGGAAAACTGACCCAAAATAGGAAAAAAAATAATAATTTTTTTAAATTTAGCTGTGTGTTTCTAGTTACTACCATAACCTACCACCAAAGAACAACCCAAAATACATTTTCCAGCTCTTGACGATCGCAGCGATACTATATATGTGTATGTTATTTGTTGTTTGTACCCATAGTACAGCCCAGAAACAATAGTGAGCATTTTTTTTTTTTTACCTAAAACACACTGACACCAATTTTTTCTTACAAATCCTGACCTTTGACCTTGACCCACTTACCCTGGCACTGAACTAGATCAAACCTTGATCTAGGTATTTTTTCTTTTCTTTTTTAATATTTATTTATCTTGTTGGTTTTTTTTTTTGCCTTTCCCAAACATTTGTTTTTTTTCCCTCTATGCCAGGAGTTAGAGAGATACAATGTATCTCTCTCCTCCATTCATAGAGAAAAAAAAACAAGGGGGGTCAGGCTGTACAGTGACTGATCAC